ACAATGAAAGCAGTATACATAGCAGCAAGCTATGGTACAATGGACGCAATATGACTAAGATAACTTTTGAAGGACATTGGAGATGTGCAAATGGAAGCAACTTTAATGGAGTCTGACAATCAAGAATGTCTTGCATTTGCAAAGAATTCTAAGCATCATTCAAGGACCAAGCACATTGACATTCAATATCACTTCATAAGAGAGAAGTTTGAAATAAGAGTAATTGATATGAAGTATTGTGCAACGGAAGACATGCTTGCTGATTTGTTGACAACAACATTAATAAAGGATAGATACCACATATTGACAAAGGTATTAGGATTGAAAGTCTTTTGACCAATAGCAAAGTGGGAGTGTTGAAATAAAAGTGAAAATAGAATAAGTTACCTTATAGAGGAAATTATCTTAGATAAGTTATTAATGGTCAAAAAATTTACTCTTCGTATATAGAAAAGAAATCCTATAGATATATGTCGAGGTCAAGGATCAAGAGTCAAAGTTAAGAGGATAAAGTATTAATTAGGTAAGAATAATTAGTGCATGGTATAGGATACCTTCGAGGTCAGTGAATTGTCAAAAGGATCTTAAGACCATGTGTACAAAAATTAAAGAGTGGAAGTTGTCTTTTTAGGCAGCAACCACTAATAATAAGTATTGGGTAGTAGAAGTGAGACATATCTTACTCCATACTCTCTTTGTATTCAACCTTCTTGATGCTAAGTGTTGTCACTTCAAAGTACTTGTTCTTCAGTAAAAATAAGTAAAAATATATTAAATAGATAATATATATATATATATATATATATATATATAAACCTAAAAGAATATTTTTTAATTATAAATTATATATTTAGACTTTTATGGTTATGTCATGTAATATGAAAAATCTTTCTAAATATTTTTACTTTGAAGAACCTATATTAAAAGTAACTTACAACTTAATAGTTGAGCCACAAGACTTGCAGTTCTTAAAAAGCTTCCATACAATCTTTTTGGTAGCTACAATATATATATATATATATATATCTATATTATTAATTATAATTTTAGTATTTTTAATATTTTATCATAATTTAATCTTAATTCATAACAATCTAATTTATTTATAAATTATATATCTATTTTAGTTTCTTTTTAATCTTATGTGATTTTAATTTATTCTTATTTTTTGTTTTAGTATCACAAGAGTATATTATATTTTTAAGGTTCTATATAGATTAAATGATTTAACAATTCAATTTGTTTTTTAGAATATTTTTATTTAAGAAGTGAATAGTTAACCTCACTTCTTAAAAGATAATTTTGTATATTAAAAATTGAAATCTATCTACTTTTCAATATAATATATTTATTATTATTATTATTTTCATTATTATTTTTCTTTAAAGATAGTAGACTACTATCTTTTATATAAGTTTTTATTTGGTAACAAAAGTTGCAAATAATCTTCTTTTGATTCTAGTTGTGATTTTTAGTATTATCTAATTTAAATCTAAATTAATTTAGATAGAAATAAAATAAATTATAGATGCTGAATTTTTTAAAATTAAAAATAAATTTATAATTACTACATATTTCTATAATTATATTAATATTTTTTGTTCAAAAACTTTAAATATTAAAAATCTTAATTATAGAAGTACGTATAAAATACTTATAAAAGAGATTATCATTGAGGTTTAATTTATATATTAAGAAGTTATATTATTGAAAAAAACAAATATAAGAAGACTATATTTACAAGAAAAATTTCAAAATTTTAATATCACAAGTTAAAATGAACCAAGGATTGTTATGCTAAAGAGTTTTGATGGAACAACATCAAAGTCTTAATAATTTCTATAGTTAACAATATTATTCATAAAATTACATCTTCCTTCATATCTTAATGCTATTACTTAAGTAGAATTTATACATACATTTATATCTAAAAGTATTCTCTCTTGATTTTTACTTTTGATAAACAAGTGACTTACAATTTTTTTATAATTTAAACTTATATTTAAAAATAAATAAATAGAGAAGCAATGATTAAACTCTATTTTCTACAATAAGTATCAATAGCTTCCATTCAAAGTTAGTAATAAGGCATAACAATTTTGTTGTATAACCAATATTAATTGAATTTTTCATAAGTTTGATTATTAAATATTTAAATTATTTTTATCTATAAATAGATCATTCTAATTACAATAGTTAATGAAGATTTATTATATATTTCATAAATTTATTTTTGAGCTTTATACTATAATTAATAAATTAATAAGAAAATAATTATCATAGCTTCCTATTAAAATAAACAATAATTAAAAATTTAAAGTAAAAGAAGTTTTGGATTCAAGGTGGAGCCAATATAAATTTAAAAATCTTTTATATTGATGGAGGCTTATAAGAGCCTTGTAATTGAATTCAAACTTGTTTCTTTTTAATAACAAGATCCATTAAAACTAATGACCGACTATTGATAATAACACAATTAAAAACCAAGTACAAAATCACTTTAAGATTCAATTTGTAGAACTTTTTGAAACATAAAAAACCAATAACTAACATTATTATCTTAAAAGTTGTTGTTTTTAAAAATATTGAATAAATCTCTTAGATTTTTTTAACCTTTGAAATATTAGAATCAAAATAAATAACTTCTAGAGAGATTTTTTATTTTTATTTTTTATAGATAGAGAGATAAAATTTTCACAATGTTTTATTAAAAGGTAGCTATGAAGGTCTTAATAATCACAAAATAACTTGGAGGTCTTTTTTTCATTACATAAATTAATATAGATAATTAAAGAGACTTATCAACTATATTCGTATACAACATATATCAAAATTTATGGCTAATATTATTTCACATATCTTTGGCTTCATCAACCTTTAAAAAAACTTATTTTTTCTTTGTAGAACTTATTTCCTTAAAAATGAGAGTCATGTAATAGATGTCAATTGAACCTAGGTACCTAAAAATAAGATAATTTAATAAAAAAATATATTAGTTATGTAATATTTTATTTAATAAATTTCCAGAAAGTTTCTTGGATATGAATTAGATATTTAAATTTTTATAAATATATCATGTGTTGCTTAAAACCTATCTTAAAAGTTTTTTACTTTATAGAAATTGTATATATATGCAATGTTTTTACTTTATACTTATATATAACATGTTGTATATATATATATATATATATATATATATATATAATGTCATAGCTATTTTTATTTTTAATTTTTTTCTAATTCTGACTTTTATTTTATATTACTTTTGATGAATATTAATAAACATTGGATTTTTTTAACAAGTGTCTTCAATCGTTTCTAATACACAATGTTTTAGAAAATTAATGTTGTTTTATTTTCTCTATTAGATGTTTAGTTGGTTACTCTGCAATAGAATTTGGTTGCATTCTAAGATGTTTTAATGTAACAATAATAAATGTAATAAATAAATCAAAGTAATATCATAATCAATGTTGAAGATTCAACATTTTTTATTTTTATGGATAAAATAATTAATACTTTTTAAAATATATTATTATATATAATTTAGAAATATTAGTTATTTTTAGAAATACACATTGATAAAATAAAAGCATTATGTATTTTTATATTTTCTTCTTGTCAATAAAGAAGCTATTACATCTTTAAAGAATTTGTAGCTTTTCAACAAGCAACAAACCATTAGAAGATATTTTAAATTACTTTAAAAATATGATTATTTCATCTATTATAATCACATATAATTTATTTTATAAAAATATTTAATAATTATTATTTTGTACAATATGCTAATTTTTTCATGATTTTATTTGAAAATGGTTTTTATTTTAAAATTAGACTGACATACATATATATATATATATATATATGTTTACTAACCATCCTAAGATGCTAAAAAAATACACAACATAGCAGATGATTAATATTCCAATAGTGAAAAAATATATGGAATTACTTCTAAATAATTAATAATAACTACAATAAACAAATAAATACTCATATTTCAATAGTAAAAATGTACAAGTATGAAACCATTTAATGTAAAGACATGCAAAATACCATCTAAGATGGTGTTGTCAATGTATAACATAAAATAGATCTTAAGCTTGCATGTTTCTTATTTCTACCCATCATGTGAAGGTTCATTCTAAAACCTGAGTTCAGATGTAGAAATAATATATAAGTTGTAAAAATTCCCTGTCATGAGTCTCCTGACACAAAAATTATTCTAAAATGCTTTCTAAACAAATGAATAACAATTTTACATGAGTGGATTTTAAATGATTTTGCAATGATGTTAAAATAAAGTAATTTACACAAGTAAGTATCCATCTTAATAAATACATGGTATGTTTGGAACTTAATATATATATATATATATATATACATATTCATCCTTCAAAAATCCATTATTTGATAAAATTGTTGATTAAAATTTATTTTATCCTGTCTTGGATTGAAGAAAGTGATGCATTAGCATAAATCATTTAAGGCTACAATAGAATCCTTTTTCTTCCAGTTGTAATTGACTTTTCTAATCTGTTAAAGCACAAATGCTACATGATCTCGTGCTAAAACTTTTGACCAAGAAATAAAATTTAAAAAATTGGTCAGCCTATTGATATGATCTTTTGTATTATCATTATTATGAAGACTATTATTAATTTTCATAACATTGTTGTCCAAAAAGAAACCAGCTAAAGAAAATTAGATATTTATACTTCAAGTGGTAGGATATGTTTCAAATATACAAGCACTTAAACAACCAGAAATTTCGAAATCAGTTGCATATTTTATCTTCCAGTCTTTGAAATCACAAAAATTCAAAAACATGAAAAAAAAAAAAAAAAAAAAAAAAAAAAAAGGAAGAAGAAGAAGAAGAAGAAAACAGAGATGATGTGAGAGAATGCAAAATAATGTTGATTTGGGCGTGTTACTGAGCAAAGAAAGAAAAGTGAGAGAGAAGAAAGAAAGCAAAGTGTTGATGGTCCAAGCGTGGAAGTGCACATCATACATTTGTGTTGTACATGATTCTCCTGCTGCTGTGACTCTTTTATGTGGTAGAAGCAGTGCTTGTAAGAAGCTGATGCTGGCATCAGTTGTTAATATTGCTGCTGCTGATGTTGCTGTTGATGTTGTTGTTATTGTGGAAGAGGAGGAGGGGGAGGAGGGGAGTTGGGTGTTCGAGGAGTTTGATGGCTGGTTCTTCGACTTGGAACAACACTCAACAGTTGGGTGTATGAAGGAATGTCAATGCTGGAGTATAAACTGACGCGTGAATAAGGAGAGGGAATCGAAGCTGGTGAAGAAGCTGTGTTGGACGGAGATCGATATCTTCCGGTGCTCCTTCTCGGGGCTGCTGCCGTCGCCTCAACACCGTTCGAGGCAGACTCCTCCGCTCTACTGCCATCACCGCGTTGTTGCGGATTGCTCGCTCCCGACGTAATGTGCTGGTGGGGTGCAGCTGACGACGGCATGGAAGCATACACATGAGGAGCGAATTCAGCTTGGTCTGTATAAGAAACGGAATGACTGGGATCACCCGTGTTTGAGGCCCATGGCGATCTCTTCATGGAGCCGAAGACGGGAGGAGGGCGCGCAGCGGGATCCCCCACCAACAGATCAACACAGTCGCCACCGTTCGAATTTTCTCGGACAGGAGATTCATGCTTTAACACCTGGACTGCCGACGAGGAGGCCATGCTGTTTGCAACGACAGTAGGGATGGGTGTGAGGTTAGCATGCTCGATTCCTGTTCTTAATTCCTGCCCCTGCACCTCATCGGGTCTCACCGCGGCATCTGCCCCAATTCCCATCTGAGAGTTTGGCCCTTGTGAAGGAGAGTCTGCTTGTGGTAGTGATCTCCCACCGTGTGTCGCATGATCTGCGTCGTAAGAACTGTGTGTGTAAGATCCGTTTACCGATACTGTACCGCTGCTTGATTTCCTGCCGAGCTCTTTCAGCGCATGGGTCGTGTAGTCTGCGAACGGAGATTCGTGGGGAGGAGCTCCCAACGTATCGGATTGCGCGGACAAAGAAACGTGGCCTGACGCACTCACGCGCCTGTACATGTGTTGATCTCTTTGAGCAGCTGCAATTGGTCTTGTTTGATCAAGTGGGTCTTTCATGTCTGAAAATATTTGATCGGTAAAGACGGGCTTATTTTCGTAAGAGAAATCTCGAGTTTTGGAGGCCGACAATGCATGTGCAAGTTGTTTTACATTTCCTTTCAGCGCAATTTCTGAATACCTTGCATTAGAAAAAGCATAAAAATCCAGTTCTTCTTCACCATTGCGACTTGAATTCCAACCTTTGTTTGTTGCAACGTCACCATTACATTCAGCACCATAATCATCTTCATATGTTGTCAAACCTATGCTTTGTTTCATATCATCCCCTAGGTCATAGTCATCTCCTTTCCGTTCGACATATCTGCCATGTCCTTGTTGCCTAGAAATGCTCATATCATTGTCAACTTGCAAACCACCACCAGTTGAATGAAGAAAATCATCCGTAATGTCGTTTCGAGAGGTCTGCACGTTGACTTCAATAGAAGGTCGCAATAGCTGCGGAGGTAACTTGTTACTGGTATGCGTCCCTGGCTTCGAAGTCGAATGTCCTAAATGATTTACATTGCTTTGGATAATACCGTGGTGATATTTTGTTGGTAATTCACGATCATTGGATGTTGTAGCATTGGCAGGATCTGATGGACGAGGCCGAGCCGGAGGAATTCTGTTGGTTTGCAAAATAGGAGGAACAACTTTCAATTTGGGAATGTTTTGATTGACATGAGACCGATGAAGATTTTCAGTATCAGGAGCATAAGGTAATGGAGAAGGCATCTTAAGCTCCGAGTCATTGTTCAGTTGCGATCTGTGATTGGAGTCATTCTGTTCCTCTTGATCATCTAAAAACATATCCAAATCATACATATCAATCTTTGTGGATGCAAGCCGTGTGAGTTTAGACATAGCTGGATTTGCCCTCAGGACTTTCTTCTTTGGTTTCTTAGAGGTAGTTTTTGATTGAGGTTTTTTCTTGAGGTCTTTCGGAGGTTTTATTTGAATAGGTATCACTTGTTGTCGTGTTGGTGCTAAAGACAATCGCTTTGCCAAACTTTTCCAAAAAGAAACCAATTTTTCTTCTTCAGCAATGCCTAGGGCTTCAACTATCTCACATGGTTTTGCGAACTGGTTTGGAGCAGATAGCTTCACATCTTTTTGCTCATTTTCTTCAATGTCAATAGCTTTATTGAATTAATGAAAAATATGAATGTGAAACTTTTATGTACTTCAATGATGTTCAACAATAAAAATATGGACACAACTTAATCTTTCTTTATTGAAATTGTTGTTTAAGTGTACACATGTATAAATTATGCATGTATATTCATATATTAGTTGTGTATGTATGCAGTGTAGAATGGATTTAGAGACTTTACTTTCAATGTTTCCACGTGCAAGTTCACTTGGATGGAAAGTGAGATTGGTATTTGTTGCCTTACTATTCTCATTATCAGCAGAGGAACTGTTTGTGCCATAGTTGAATTCATTATCTGTTGCACCACCATTGTCTCTGTTATCTTCCCAATATGGTGAGCTGGTCAAAGCATTCAATGTAGGCAAAGAAATCTCATCGCTTAGTATGGTAACCACTTGCTCTTCTTTGGGAAGATCATTCATGCTGGTAGAATGGCTTGGAGTGAAGGTCTCAATGCTTTTAGTGAGGTCATCTTCTTCAGCAGTTTGTTCATTTGGGAGCAGCTCCCCCATGGGATCCACGGCAGACATTTGGTGGAGAGCCCCCACATTGGTGGTGTTGTCAATGAAGCTGTGCTCCATTTCTTGGACTATGCGGAAATCGGGAGGAGAGTTCCAATTTGCAAAGACTTGGAATGTGGTGTCTGGTAAGCATGCAGCAAGTGGGCCCAGCAGGAGGAACAACCACGAGCTTGGGGAGTGAAGAAGGAAGAGGACCTGGCCTTTGACGTTGGTCCAATCCACACTCAGTTGCTCGGAGATGGAGTTGAAGTACATGGTGGCCACAAAGATGGCCAGGGACAGGAACAAGCTGCTGAGGTGGTGCAACGTGTAGTGCGGGATGCTGATGGCCAACTTCACTGTGACAATCACCAATGCTGTTGTGTAGATTGATAATCCAAGAGACCCTATCCCACCTGTCTCACCCATCTCACTGTAGCCCCAAATTTCCCCACCACCACCCCTGCTTCATTACAGGGTTTCCACACAATTGAAAGTCATGGCTTCACCACCTTCTCCCCACTCTCTCTGCTTATTTCTTTTACTTGTTTCTGGGATTCTTCAACAATCCCATGTTGCTACAATTAAACAATTAAATGAAGATGGTATGAAGTTGTGTGACATTTGTGTTTATGGGTACTTGATAAACTTGTTTTGTTTGTTTTTGGTTTTGTTTTGTTTTGTTTTTTCACACAATGAAAATGGAGCACATTGTGCAGGGAGCGATTTGTAGCAATGGATGCAGTTGAGAATGTCAACACAAAGGGAGAGGAAGGAGAGAGAGAGAGAGAGAGAGGGTAGACAGGCAGGATTGACTGTTACCTTGTGGATAAGGCGGCCATGTATGGAAAAGCAAAAGCAACAAGGGAGTGCCACATTCCAGTGAGAATCCAACTGCTTGTGTGGAGAATGAAGCTGCCCATTTTCTCAGATTGCGTCTCCACATACAGTTGTGGATTATTCTCCAGCATAGGAGCACTCACATCCACATCAAGGATGGCACATAATAATATGGGATAGAATGTCCACACATAATTATATGAGTCTGCAAAGAAGTTTGTGTACAAATTCTGTGCAGAAAATGCTGACACAAAAGCAAACATGAAATGAGTCATTGATAAAACTATGTTTTTGTATATTGAGTACATCACCAAGTTTCTGCTTCTTTTGTATGACCTGCATTTCATAAGCAAGTGACTTTGGATTTCAAATACTTATATGTATTTGAATATAAAAATAGTACTATATAATGCAGATCCCATCAGCATATATATATATATATATATACACACACATATTCATTTAATTAATTATTCCTAAATGCATTTAGAAACTGCATGTTTTAAGTCCCAGAGTCACTTGTAAGAAATTCACCTAAGTTGGTAATTGCAATGCAATATTTCTATTTCTGAAATATCCTAACAACATCCACAATAGAAGGCAAGATCCAAAATCTATTAACTACATGAAACAACTTAAAAAGTCCTGGAAATTTGAATTCCAAAACTCCACATATGGACAAGTATTAATAACACAAGTGTATTTGCAATATGTTCAATATTATATATATATATATATATATATATATATATATTATTAATTCTATTGTTATAATAATGATTAGAAAAGAGAATGCAGACAACTTGCCATCGGCCATGAACAAGGAGAAGCCGGCGGAGGAAGCAGAATTGGGCAATGGCATAATCACTTGCTACTTCTGCAGCATTTCCTTCACGTCCACTGATACCAACGCCAATGTGGGCAGCTTTGATCATGCCCACATCATTGGCACCATCTCCTATGGCCAATGTCACTGCTCCCCCTCCCTCCTTCACCATTTTTGTCACCTGCCCTCAAATCGCACACAACACAGCAGCCAAATGCACACATGCCAAAAGCATTAAAATAGAAGCCCTCTTGTTTTTGGACTCCCCAGGAGAGGAATAATCTTCACACATCCCACACAAGGAATTCTTCCAAAACATGCAAATCTCTAACCTGAGCCTTTTGAAGAGGAGATACTCGGCAGCAAACAACTGTTTGACAATATTGGCACAACTCCAAAAACACATGTCGATTGGATTCTTCCAATGCCACACCCACTGATGCACCTTCGATGACTGTGGCCATGTTTGATGACTCTGATCCTGCTTCTTTTTTTGCCAATTCATAAGCTATTAAAGAAATTTCTATTTTCTTACTTGTTTTGTTTTGTTTTTTTTTTTCATGGTAGAAATTTTCTAGAAAGTATTATTAATTTTATGTTATAAATTTCTTTTAAAAATAAAAGAAATAAAATAGAACAACATTTTTGAGTTGCATATGCCTTGACTTTTTACCTGTTCACTTCCTGATTACATAGTGAGGTGCATGTTCTAGCATGCATTGTGGTAATTTGTTGTGTATTGTAGCAAGTACAACCTAACTTAGTATTGGCAACTTATACAGGTAACTATACAAGTAACTATACAAGTAACTATATGAAGAGTTTTTACTTGGTAATAAACTGCCACCAGAAACCTATACTGGAATCTGCATTGTGAAAATTTGCTGTATAATATTGCAAAACATATGTATAGGTTCAGACAATGAGGATGAAGAAGAAGAAGAATAGAGAAAGAAAGGGGTTTGGTGTGGGTGGGATGGTGTACTTGATTTCAGTGATGTTTTGTAGTGGATTTGAGCTTCTTCAACCATAGTTCGAAGTAATTGAGGCACAGAAAGAGATGCAGACTCAGATAATAGAAACAAATGCATCGATTCCAATAATAAATTACATGACAATCCAATTGAAACAGCTGTCTCTAACTTATCACCTGTCAACACCTGGAAAAAGTGAAGAAAAGAAACACCAAAAAAATGTAGTCATGGGTCAGAATGATTTAATCAATGAAAATCATTAAAAACTTTACAATACTTGAGATTTAAAATGTGTGCATGGGTATTGACATTAACATATGAAGTAAGGATTGGTCGTACCCAAAGTTTGATCCCAGCAGCACCCAACAAAGTGATAGTCTCTGAAACACCCTCTTGCAGCTTGTCCTCCACTGCTGATACCCCCAAAAGAATCTTCACCCACCCCACCCATTCATTGCCACAGTGTTATTATTATCACAATACTAACCATATGTTCATTTTATCAATCTTTCCCAGAAATGTTTTAGTTTTCTTTATTTTAATTTGTGTGTAGCTAACAATGTGCATGTTTGGCTTTGAAAGAAATAGAGGTGTTTATATCATCACCATGATTGTTACTATCAGATTCAACTAACAGAGTGTTATTGATCCATTGATTGAGTGGTTTAGATTTTGAATTAATCATGGGGTATGTTGTACACAGCATAAAAAGAAAATGAATGAATAAACAAAAAAATATGAATGAAAATTGGATGGCCTAGTGAGCACCATGTCTTTCTCTATGCTTTCTGCAACAGCATTCAGTTTTTCATCACGGTCATCCAGAGCCAAGCTGGCTTGACGAAAATGAACTGCCCAATTTCGAAATTCTTCATGGCTAAGCTGTTTTTTGGGGTTAAAAAAATCAAAAAATCAAAAAATCTACAGATTCACTGGAAACTTCCAACTTCTGTTCACTATACTTCAATACATTACAATCCTTCAAATAAAACTACTTATAATAATAAAAAAAAAAAAGTTAACAGCGTTGTTTAATATATATTTTTGAGGAGAAACTGATAGATGGATGAAGGGTGGTGAGGAGGATGGTAAACCTCGCGTTCTGCCATGCAAAGGGTGCGGAGGCCGCTGCGAGCAAACTCTTCAATGTGGGTTTGGCTTGCTTTGGCCACAGCATGCTGTGAAGTAGCCAATCTCTTGAACACCACCACATCTGCCCCCTTGCAATACAACTTGATCCTGCCACCCCAACTCACATGCCATGCTCCCCTGGCTTACTCTCTCTCTCTCTCTCTCTCTCTCTCATACACAAATAATCAACCACCAAACCATAATCTCAAAAAAATGCAAACAATCAAACAAACAAAAACAACCACAACTGACCACAAAATGTACTAACAATATGTATGCTGCTGATGTTAGTAAAATTCTACCTTCCTTTCTGCTGTTGGCAAATGATACTCATTCTTTTCCGCTCTGGTGAAAATTCCAGTACAGCCAATATTTTAAAATGTTCTAAACCTTGACCCTGCAAAACCATCCATTCCAAAGTAATGATTTTTTATTTTTTATTTTTTAAAATTTTTATGGAAATGATTGGGTTTTGACAATTTTATGTAAATGCAAAAGAAGGAAAGAAAAGAAAGAAAAATTCAATCTATCCAGAAAAACATGACTTGAATAATGAACACATGAAAAACCACATGTTAGACTTGAAACATCTATTTCCCAACAGGGTTCAAAGAGGTTGGAACATGATGGTGTAGGATGGTGGACCAGAAGCAAAGACTTGCTATACAACCTCCATGAAAACAACAATCTCTTCAGGTGACCGCTTCTTCAAATGAAAACCACATTCTGATGCCCCCTGAATATAAGATAACAAACATTCAGAGATGATGATTAACACCCCCCCCCCCCCCCAACAAACAATAAGTGCATATATTTACACACAACACACACATATACACAAAGAAGCAAGAAAGAGGTATTGGTTGACACAAGCAACTAGGGTTTTAGGGTTTAGGGTATGAAGGTTACTTGGACAAGAGCAACTTCATCAGGTGAAGAGGACTTATAACTAAGTTCTTCACCTTCATCTGCAAACAGGTAATTGGGGATGACAGTGTGGCAGAGGGCCACATGTGTAAAGAATGCGCGGCACAGTTGTGTGTGTGGGTTGTTGGATGGGGAGCTGTTTAGGATGTCGGCCAGAAGAGGATCGTGCCCCACAGTATGCACTGAATGAGGTGAGTCCAGGCACTCCTTCACAGGCGATGGCTTTGCTGTGCCCCCTGGGAGGAAGGCTGGGGTCATGGACAACTCGGCCGATGACTTCCCATATGACACCCCTCCAATGGAACACTTCACAAAGGCCATCAGGTTCTGGGTCAGAGTGCCAGTTTTGTCAGACATTATGTACTTCACTTGGCCGAGCTCCTCCGTCAAGCCAGAAGCTCGAGCATGAGCTGGTGTGTTGGTGCCACAATAGAACATTTCAATGTCCCAATTCACATACATACATTGCACCATCTTCACTATTTCAAGTGTTACATACATGGAAATTGGCACAAGGTCATTCATCAACAACACAAACCTGCAAAAACAGAAAAAATAAAAAAACAAAAGCAAAAACAAAAACGCATTTTAAAATATTTTTACACTCATTTTTAATTGTAGGAGACTTACAATTAATAATTAAACTGCATACTTTTATCTCTCTTAGTTATATTTATTCATTTCTGAAAAAAATTAAGTTGTTTTTTTAATGGTATGTGGCCTTTGTTTTAAGGAATAGGAAGAAGAAAATGAAAGAAGAATGTTACCTAAGCATTTGAATAAAGACCAAAGGCAATCCAGCTTTTGGCTCTGGCCATAGACTGTGAGCTGGAATGTAAAAAGGCCATTTGTCTGTGTGTTGTACTATCCATATGGTTGCAGCTATGGCCAAACTTAAGGACAAAATACAAAGGATGATCAGCATAATTCCCACAGAATAATTACTATGTTTTTCCAAAGTTGAAACCTATATGAGGTCCAAAAACACAACAAAAAACAGAAAAAAAAACATGTATACATATCTATCATCAATCAAGTATGTCAACTTTCCCCTTTCATGATTTCTTAAGTTTTTAATTGTGTGACAGAGGAGATGTGTTTCTACTTCCATGTTTTTTGAAGCAAGGTTAATGAAAATCATACATAGGAAAAGATTTTTTTTTATCATGCCAAAGTGAAAACAGCAAACAAAAATTGCAGATGTAGGTGCAAACTAGTACATAGAAGTGGCAACAGCAAAACTAGTCAACAAGGGGAGGTGTGTGTGTAATGTTTGTAAACATGAGAGAAAGAATGAGAGTAAGAACAAGAGTGCAAGAGAGAGAGAGAGAGAAGTAAGCACTTTGTGGGAGCCAGGGATCATGTTGCGCATGAGTTTGGTGTCAGAGCCAGTGAAGACAACGGCCCCAAGGATCCACTCAGTGTGGCGGAGGGTGGTGCCGCGGAGGAGGATATGGGTGCCCTCCATGTCCTGCTTGCCTTCTCCTTGCAAGTTGATGGAGCCGTGGAAGTGCAACATTTGCATGTTGGGCTTGTCACATTTGAGAACCATGCCTGCCAAGATGGAGAGGGACACCCACCCTCCTTGGAACACCATCCTCCCCATCTTGTAGAATGACCTCCTAATCTTCAGGCTCGACTCCCCATCCAGGTTTGCTGTCTCCACATATGCCAATCCTACATTTTTATTTACATGCACTCCCTTCATTAACCCTGAAAGGAGTGGAAAAAAAAAAAAAAAAAAAAACAGAAAAAACGGAATGCACTCTTCACAGATTGACACAAGCACAAATGATACCATCTTTGCAATATGGATGCCACTGCTTGACTCATCAGGGGAGTGTTGAGTGGATCCTCTACCTTGTGGGTCAGATGAAGATATGAACACCAAATCAGCAGGGAACTCCTCCCCTGCATTCACCTTCAAAATGTCGCCAACCACAACATCCTTCCACTTTATGCAAACTATCTTGTCATCTGTCAAAACCTCAACTTCTTGTTTGTTTGTCTGCAATACGCAACCAATTTAATAAATCTGCAAATGATGGAGGTGAGGAATTGCACGAGGAGATGTTCAGCCATGAGACAGCACTAGGAAGAAGACAAAAATGACTGGGAACCTTTTGATCAGAGGTTCTGCGTCTCTGCTCGTCATATGCTTCCTTAAGTCCATTCAAAACCAATACAAAGAGAAGGGGAATGAGGGTTGTCCCCCAGTTGCTTGTAGTCAACTCAGATGTACACTGAAGTGCTGATATCACCAAAAAGTAAAGGTTTGCAGGGCGATGGAATTGTTGCATTAGGTTTCTTGGAATAAAGTTGTAGAAATTGTATTTTGTTGTGATGATTTCATTTGAGCAGAACCTGCATTTACCCTCTTAGTGGCATCCTTCAAAACTCACTTAAACACACCAATTAAAACATTGTAAAAAAGAAAACAAAATGCTTTCAAACATGTTTCAGCTTGTGTAGGTTAAGCAATCTTGTTTATCCTCACAAGACATGAGATTTGCATGGCCTTTTCCATAGGTAATTCATTAAACATATTTCTGCTCAATATTAGATTTAAACTGATTCATTACTTTTTGAAAGGAGAGCTTCCTCATCTTGTTGGTGGATGCTACAACCATCATCAATTATTGGAATCTTACTCAAATTTTCTTCACAATTTTATTAAACAAAGACATACTGTTCTATAATGATTGAGTAAATAAATGAATTGCAAACAATTACTGTTTGGTCTGAATAGCTGAAGCTCGAGCTGATTCTGTGACATGCACTCTGATCACACGCTGCATTCTGTGGGTCTAATACCAAAACAACAGTAAGAATAAGAGAAGGAGAAGGAGAAGGAGAAGTGGAGAAGGAGAAATAAGAATACTCAATTAACAATAATGACAGCAATAACAGCCAAACCATTTAAGTAATACCCAGCCATGTATTGACCTTCTCCACCCACCCATTGATTTTGTGCATAAACAGAGTGATCAGGAAGATAGATGTGTGTGCGTGTGTATATATATATATATATATATATGGTATTGCTATTTCTACCACAGTTTTTGTTACTATCACCCCAATTCTGTAAAAATTTCAGTCACATTTTAGTCACATTTCACCACAACCATTTCATCATGATTTAATATACACACATACATATTATTTTTTTTGTATTAATTTGTGCAGACATGTTTTTTCAATTTCTCATCCTTGTCAATTCATACTTGTCTGAAGGAGAGTGAAAATGGGTTGCGATTTGCAACAAGCTCAATAGGGAATGGGAGAGGGGTACACAAAAAATAAATGAAGGCAGGAATGAGGAAATGGAGAGGAAGATAGATAGACAGGAAGGAAGGAATTATGTATAAAACCTTGTATGAGGGCTGCAACCCCATTGCCCTTTGCTTCAATTCAATTTAATTAAAATCAAAGATGATGTAGAAGGATGAGGAAGATTCTTGCTTGAATTGATTTACATACAAGCATCTAATTGCAGGCACAACATATCATTACTAAAGCAAAGCAGAGAAGAAAGAAAGAAGAGGGTAAGAAGCAGAAATATGAGTGTGATTGTGCATTCTTCTCCAAAACTCTTCTTAGACAGACACCAACAACAAAGAAGAAGCGTTATCTCATGTGATTTCTTTAGGAGAAATATAATAAAAGAAAAGAAAGAGATAGGAAGAAAGAAAGTAGAGATAGAAAGAAGTGGCTTACATACAGTCCGGACATCACGGGTGCGATTTTATAACTCTTCTCTTCATCTTTCATGATACATTCTTCTTCTTCTTCTTCTTCTTCTTCGTCTTATTATTATTCTTTAAATGAAAATAATTTTCCTACGACATAAAAACAGGCATGAAACTGATCCTATGAGTATGGTAATTGATGTAGATTTAGAGAAATAATATGCAGAATTTACTTATTAAATTTTAGTTAAACATCCAAGATAATTTTGGATCATGATTTTGAATTATTTTACCAAGAATCTTAGTACGATGTTTTTAATAGACCTATCTTGTAATAGAATACTAGTAGCAATAAAAATATTTTATTATTAATTAAAAATATTTTTAATATCTTCAATTTTAAATTTAAAAATAATTTAATTAATTAAAAATAAATATTAATTTTTGAGTATTCTTTTATAAAAATTTCAAAAGATTGAAATGAAAATAAAATGAAGGTTTTAAATTTTACACTAAAAGAAAAATTTCAAAGGATAATTCTTATTATTACGTATATTATTTATTTTCTGTTAATTATTAATTTAACTTAATATTCTACTATTACACTAATAACATAATGATTTTCTTATTATTATTTAGATAGAAAAATAAATGTTTTTAATCTAGTTGTTTCAGAATCAGATTGTAATATTTATAGTTTTATTTTACATGTGTAAAATTATTATAAAATTTAATTTTTTTTTACAGTATTTTTATGTTGAAATAGTATTAAAATAGATCAAATAGATGTTCAAATTAAGTAGCTAAATAATTATTTTTTTTCTAATAACATGGTCAAGAAAATAAATTCAAATCCGTTAGACATGGGATTTCTTTGAATTCAAATCCTTTTTACAAGACTATAAATACAAAGCATTTATAAATAATAATAAAAGAAGAAGAAGAAAAAAAAAAAAACAAGCTAATTTTCGACCTCACATGGTTAGTACAAAGAAACTTTTTAAATATTGACAAAACTACTCACAAAAAAAAGACACAGAAAAGAAGATTACAAAAGCAAAATTTTTGTGGAGTATAATTTGTGATATTTGTTGCATCTACAAACATCTATTCCAAGCCTTCATATGAGGGGAGTGAGCAATACCACCCACCTCAAGCAACACAACACACACACGGAATGAAGAGAAAGTGGGTGGGCAAGGATGGATGAATGAAATGACGGATGAATGGATGTGGTGTAGGTTCTGACCCTCGCATAACGCCGTCACTAAGCACTGTAAAGATTTCATTTTCTCTTTTTTCTTTTTCTCAGGCACAGAATGCGAACCAGCCAAAGTGGGCATGCAACGCTGGGAGGAGGGGAGCGGAGGGAATGCCAGCCCCACCTTATCTCACTGCTCACAGCTTTCTCTCTTTCTCCCTTTCTCTCTCTCTCTCTCTTTGTCTCTCAATTCTGTTTGCAGTGCCCTGTTAGCTGAATTGGTTTCTTCCAGCTCCGCTTCTCCCTCTCCCTCTCCCTCTCTCTCTCTGCGTGTGTGTCTCTGTGTGTGTGTGTGTCCGTGTTGCTGCAATTCGGGGCCATGGACCTGGCGCTCACTAGTCCGCTCAACGTCTCCTCTGCTTGCCGGGCCACTGTGCCGTCTGTAAGTTCCATGCCGATCGTTTTGCACACTCCCTCCCTCCCTCTCTCTCCTACATTGCTATTTCTTTCTTCTGCTGTTAGATTACCGCGGCTGTTGTCCCCCTCTTGTAGACTGACTTGATTTGTTGCGATTTGCTTCCACAGGTAATGGACACTGTGCGGAGATTTCCTTCCACCGTGTTCCTCACCGGCTCCCCGCGCTCCCTTGAATCTTCCCGTCGTCTTCGTTGGTCAGGCAAGTGAGCTCCGAGTACATGTGGATTTGAGTCGTATCGAGTTGAATTGAGGCGGGCTTGAGCGTTGTGCTCTTATCTTGGATGAATCCTTCTTGCCAATCTTGAGTCACCATCTCGAGATGATTACAATTGGTTGGTAATGAAGAGCGCTGGTACATGGAATAAGGAATGGGAATGCAGGGGGTGGGAATGTGCAGAGAAAAGTGCGGATTTAGTGATGCGAAAGTCGAGTCTCTGCTCACCGTGCTGTGCGCTCGTCCTGAAAGAACGGTGAGTTTTATCCGATCATGTTTCTTAGGCCCTCACATGACAAACTCAGCTATGCCATGTCAGGTTAGTTTCTTTGAAAAGAATCCCTAATCCTTGAAATAAAGCTCATGTGGTGGAATGGATGGAAGATATGCCGGAGCCGGAATTCAGGGGACAGGCAGGGTGCAAATGGAGGACTCTTTTACTATCGAAGTGGATTCTACTGGGAAGGACCCCGCTTTTTTTGGAGTTTACGATGGCCATGGTGGAAACGCTGTCTCAGAGTGAGTAAGCCTCATAGTATTTTGTATTTGATGATTCATATTGATCAGTCGAGTTGACGAGAATCTTACTTTCACGTATTCCTGGTCGGTTGTTTCAGGATGCTGCAAAAAAGTGTGTGGCCAATATATAAGAGAAAACTCTCAGGTCAGTTTGAATTCAGTGACATTGTTTTTATTTTCTTCTTCTCTGCCACAAGTTGATTCTCAGTTTTAAAATGGTTTTTAAATTTTAAATTTTGTTGAATTAAATATTATTATTTTCCCCAGTATTTATAGGTGGCACTGAGTTATATTATTTTTTGCCGATGTGTGCGCAGGCCCTGATGTAGTGCGCGCCACACGAGAAACGTACTTGGAGCTTGATCAGCTCGCTTTGGTGCATAAATTACCAACTATTCTCTCAATTGCATTCTCAGGTCAATTTCTTGTCGGAGGCAGTTGTTCTTATGTTTAAATTGAGAAACGAGTTTTAAGCATCGCGAATGAACAGGCAGCGCCCAAGGGCCTGTTTGGAGCACTGCGCGAGCGGGGATTGGGAGGATCGAAGTGTGGCGCAACGGCAGCAACGGCCGTTCTTTTTTCTAAACCAGGTCAGATAATCTTTGAGTCGAATGGTTAATTGAATGTTTTCTTTCTGACTTTCCTATACACTGTCCATGGCTAGAACCTGGATTCTTGGTGTTTCAATGGAAGCATTGGAGGGCGTGAAGCTGATTGTGGTGCATGAATTAGATGGCAGTAAAGAGCTGGTGACTGCCAATGTGGGGGATGCGAGAGTGATTCTGGTTCGTGGTGGTCAGGCGATTCAGTTGACTGTTGATCACAAGGTGAGCCGTGCAATCTTTTCCTCAGTAGAAGTCGTTTCACCGTGGATGTAGCAGTGGTAAATAGTCCAGAGTCCGCTAGACGCTTATGTGATTACTCCTCTTGCAGCCAGACGTGAAGGAGGAGAGAGAGCGGATCGAGGCGAAGAACCCAACTCCAAAGAAACCCCTTGTAAGCTCATGTCTCAGATTATACAACCATCTCTTTGGGATCGTGACTGCCTTTCTTTGAATCGTGGTTTTCTATTTACTGAGTTTTACATTTTCATTTGCATGGCAGGTTGTGAACGTGGGAGGAACGTGGCGGGTTGGTGGCCTACTAGCTCTATCCCGCGCATTTGGAGATGCCTACCTTAAAGAGTAGGTATCTCTCGCATTTGTACTCTTTATATCAACTAGGCCTGTTAAGTTTCCGTGGATTCTATATACCCAGATCACTAATGTATGCATCGTGTGGCGTTGCTTGTTCTAATAGTTGGTCAGATAACCAAATTAATGGAGCAAGGGGAGGGTATGGGCTCACAGCCGAACCGAACATTTCCGTGGAAACATTAACTCCAGGTAGAGTATTTTGAGCTCCCAACTCATCATAGTCACTTGAAGCCTTTACATGATCCGGATTAATGGAACTTTAATGATTTTTTCTGTGTGTGTGTGGGCAGAGGACCAAATGATTATTCTGGGAACTGATGGGCTTTGGGAGCTGGGCAATCAGGAAGTGGTGGACATTTGTCTTGCTGCAGGGTAACTTTGCTTAACCAAGCTCCATGCATTAATTTCGTAAGAAGTGTAATATTTAGACTCTTGTGGTTTCTGATAAAACGCGTGTTCAATTGTTGCTGTACCTAGGGAGAGCACTTCTCCGGAGGAAATTTTGAAGGAGTTGTTCAAAGTGGCTGTGGAAAGAGGGGTCACAGACGACTTAGCTGGCATTATTATTCGGCTGTAATTGCAGTCGTGCCTAATGGCTATTTTCACACACAATGTGGGTACAGAATATTGGCCGATCGTCTGAGAAATAACCAGAATTTAGTTCATTTAGAATCATCCGCGAAGGGGGAGACTCCCGTGAAGGTACGTCGCAGTTAAAATGGGAATGTTCCCAGCTCAACTTTGGGCGAAGAAGGAATGTCTATTATCCGATCAACGGCCCACTGCAGTACCGTTGTTGACACCTTGATGATGATTAACAGAGTTTGGCACTTGGCAAACGTATTTCCTGCCTGATTATGTATGTGAATTTATGGAGTATGGGATATGTCTGCTAGGAATTTAGAAGCACCGGTTAGGTTTGGCACTAACTGATTCAATTTATCACGTCAAATGTGATACAACAATATTGGAATAGCAGCTTATAAAATTGTGAAAGAACTGAATATCTCTACGTTTTATTATCTCACGCTATTTGATTACGTCAAAAATGAAAACCAAAACTGATGCAAGAGATTCCGTGAAGAACAACGTTCCACAACTCTTGGTTTGGGCAATAAGCTTGCCAGACTAATCTGGACATGAATTCTTTGCCTTTTTCAGAAGACAAGACAGCTCTTGATGCCATGCCAATCATTTCGCAGCCGCGAAAAATGAATCTCAACCACAACGGCAGCTGCAACACGGGTGTCACACCAACCTCTATGCAAAAGCACACATTGAATTAGAGCACAGATGGCACGACATACATCCATTCCTACCCCTGGCAGTGTGAGTTTCATGAAGAAGTCTCCAATTTGGAAGAATATTTGCTTTGTCGTCACCCGGACTACCATCAAATGCACTCGTAAATGAATAGTTGGGTTTTAAGTTTATGAACATCCTGTACAAGTTAGTTACGAAGCATTCAGTCAGGCACATGCGCTCACAAGAGAGTTCAATTGGCTGCCACCTCCTGAATGCTGGAAAGGGCAGGACGCCATGGCATGGGTGCCTTCTTGAACCTGGTCTCTCTGCTCGCCCTCCTTCGCTTTGTCGACGTTTCATGGCTCCCATTCTTGATCCGCCCCTCCTTGATCGACCCCGACATGATCTTGGAGAACTGCTCTGTCGAGATGACGAATTTCATGCTCCCCGTCCGCTGCACCGCTCTGCGAGGGGGTTCAATTTGCAGTAATGACGAAGTGTCCGAGCAATTCTCCGACCTCTCATCGCTCTGATCGTCGGCTCCGCCGTGGCCGTGGCCAGGTTTGGGGAGTAGGAAGTACACTTCTCCGGGCTCCAGCAGGGTGTGCATTGGCAGAATCTTGCCATGTTGCATCATCACCAGCAAGCTGGAGTGGCATACGAAGTGGTTGGGATAGTCCAAGATGAGATCTACCACACGCACTCTAGAATACAACGACAGCACGTTGCCATCCGCCTGCAGCACCGTCACGGCGTCCCTGTAGCCCCTCCCCCCGCACACCATCACCGCGTTCCCCATATCCCAGCTCCTAAATCGACCTTTTTAACTGGCTTGGCTCGTCGTCTATATCCAATCATCCATTCACAACAGGCACAACGTCATCATGTCGCCTTGACACTATCTAATACACACCTTCTACATGAAAACAAATGACAACAAATGCTGAGAGAAAGTAACGAAACTCGAAAATCTACAGTGGTATACCCTATTTTTATCAAATTCGCATTTCAATAGCCACGTAATTCCATGACTTCATCCAGCACCTTCGTCATATCCAGTGCAGTCATGTATTACTCTGAGCCATCTATCTTGTAATAAATTCGCAGACTCACTAATAGTCTGGAGAAGGCTTTCGAAGATACTAACCTCAAGCTCAATTACCTTGAACTCTATCCGCCTTCGTATGCATACAACCTCTCAACCAGACTTGGAAAAGAGGATTCTGTAGCAATGTCTTCCTTTGACAAACCAAGCAACAAATTACATTGCAAAAGCTGATTTCACTAACTTCGATGACAATTCGAGTCTGCAAATCCCATCAGGAAAAATCAAGGATGTTTTAGGACATTTCTTGGATTTAAGGCCTACAACCTACAGACCTGGCGATTTGAAATCCATCTGTACAAACCGGATGCTGAAAGCCAATTGAAATCTTTAGACACACTGTTACTCGCCACGGACAGCAACCTCGAGTGACGAAGAGAGCGACCGACAGGATTTTTTTCTCGCACAGTATTGGACTATCGGTGAAGATGTACAGCACCAAAGAACCTCTCAGACACAATTAATGAACATGATCACCCACGTTTCAATGTGAATAGCGACAGTCTACCAAAGGGTACACTCACCTTCAGGAGCATGCTGCCAGCAGAGCGATTGCGCATTAGCCCATGGCCTTGCGGTGCGGATTGCCACTTGGGTAAAGTTGCTTGGAGCGCATCGATTTCGTACAGAGTTGCTATCGAAGTGCAGCTCAAGCATGCAGATGGGGCGCAGGGGATGGATCGGTGTTGCAATCACTGCAGCAGAATGGCGCTGAGGCTCTCGTCTCCACTCCTCTCCTCTCATGACCATACCAGCTTCATCTGCGGTGGATCTAAGAGTTTTAGAAATTGCGAACGCAATCCATGGAATGGTACAATTGCACTGTGACAGTGGGGTAGTGGGTGGCCAAGTCAGAGTGTCAGATGTTCATCCATATTCCATGGCTTTATCGTGTGACCCCACTTTCTTGTGTCTTCATTATTGGCGGCTCTATGGATGTGTACCCCCCCCCTTCTTGGTCATTTTGGTTCCCCAGATCCTGGAAGGCAATTCAACCGACATAACCATTGTATCAATGTAATCAGCAATGATGCGTATCGTCAACTGGTCATTGAGCCAGCGCTTAGGAATTTCTTGTCGATGATATCAATTCACTCCAAAACCCATGTGTTACATAACTGAGGGAAAAGTGACCGGAGAATCACACACATATGCAAGTAGCATTCCTAGCATCGCAAGGACCTTTAATTGAACAATAATATGCGTTGCGAGGTACCACTACTTGGGCAAAGCAAGGGTCATTTTGATAGGGCAGCTTTTCACTGGCTTGCTCAGTGCAAGTCCTCTTCTTTACACAGCTGGAATCCATCAGGGTGAACTGATATTGAATTTGTCAAACTTAATGCCACAAATTATTGATGAATTTGCAGCATTCCATGGTATCCACCTGAAATGAATGCTTCAACTAGATAGTAGACACTTTAGATACAGTTCCTCGTGTATTTACAGCGACTGTGCCTAAGCAATCAAAACAGCCAATTGATTCACACTACAAAATCCGTGACTCCAACAATATCAAGACAACGTGATGATGATGAATCCAGTAAAAAAATATTTGTGGAATACAACACAACTTCCAAGTTATAACTATTGTCAGTGTCGCAGCTCGAACCTTCTCTGACTACATGCTAGCAGCCTGCAATGACCTGTGGCATTATGCATGAGCATGTCAAGGGTACTCATCCAGAAATAGTACTGCCACCAAAAAAATTACATTCATTAAAACGATTCACCAACTATTCAATCGACACATGAAATTTCAACATTCTGCCAGGACCATACAATTTCTACGAGGGCTACAAAAGATGTGCTCATAAATGGAAACCAACCATGTTAGAAGAAAACGCAATTTCTGAGTCCGTAAATTTGGACTAAAATTCGGTAACTGTCGTAGCTTATAATCTCTATAAATCGAAAATGGGATTTTGCGCTAATGCAACAGTTGTTGAACTACAAAACAAATACGAGACCCAGCAATGCGAAGTAGGTAACCGTCTGCAGACGTGAATATAGGTGCAGAAAAAGTGAATCTGTAGGTTTCCTTATAGATGACTACATCTTCAACCACTTGGGTTTCGACTTAGCGCTTGCGGCGCGTTTGGCAGGTGCTTCTGGTGTTGGAGAGACATCATTGGGATTTTGAAGAGTTTGTAGACCATTATCACTCGGAGCCTCTTGCAATTTGTGCAGGTCACGTAACTCTTGAACTTCTGGTCGAAGGTACGGTCCCTCCAGAGGTATCTCAGCAGCTGCTTCAAAGGATCAGTTTGTCCATCAACATCAAATACATTGTAGACTGATTCACGTAACATTGCATTTCATGATGGCACATTTATGATGCGGGGTTTCGTCACAATACCGTGCAAATCTTAACAATGCACATGCGATTTTTTCTATGTAACCACTGCTCCTAAATTGGATATATTTCAGTCTGGTAGGAGTAGCATTAACTCAAGGAATGGGGAACTCGTTACCTTGAGAAGGAGAATACGAAAAATATACGTTTGCTCCTGGGGTGAAACTGGCATCAATCATATTCTGTTGTAGCACTTTAAGAGGTCGCTTTGGTGGCGTTGTGTCTGCTCAAACAACAGGTTTTGCAATTCAGCTGCCGCAAGGCAAAATGACCAGTCCATCTCATTTTACTCACATCAGAAAAACTGCATCACGTTAACGCATACATAATACTTTAAATTTCATGGCATATTTTCAGAAACCGAATGATATTTGCAATTCAACAAGAAAGGTAGAAGTTTCAGGTGCATACACAGATAAAATGACAAATCTGGTCGAGTAATTGTTTTTCGAACTAGCTCCATGATATCTGCAATTGTCTCCGTTGATTTGAATACAGCCTCCACCACAAAACCATCTGGAAAGTGTACACGAATAGTGGCCTACAAACACAAATCCGTTTATCCAGTTAAGTGTACATTGTCCAAGTTTATTAAAACTCAATCATCTGGTATCTTTATAATTCTGTTTATCTTTATCATCAGAATCTAAATGTTCGCGTACAGGGCTTGTGTATGGTTGAAATCAGACAAGGGTTCTCGAAACTTAAAACAGGAAATTGCACAGAGAGGAGAGGAATTCAACCTTACTTCTCTGAGCCCTCCTTGCTGCCTGCGCTGCCTGTTCCCTATCTCGTATTTTCTTAGTCTTCAAGTGTATCTCTGAAGATGAGGAAGAAATTGTGCATTAATAAAACGTGACAAAAAAAAGTTCCAATCCTTTAATTCTTACTTTATTTACGATCTTTAATTTATGTTTATATTTTTGGTTAAGTTAGAGGGAGGGGAGCCTAGAGAAGTCTAAATAACTTCATCTTGATTAATTATTGAAGAAAAACATAAAATTTGAAAGGGATTGAGTCGCAATGTAAGGGGTAGCTATCACATTACATGTTCATGCTTTAAGGGCTGAGAAGGGTTCGTAGAGCACTAACCTTCCTTCTTATTGGCCTGCAAAGCGGCATAGTCTGCTGCTGTAAACTCGTAAAAATCGTCAGGCAAATCATCTGCAGATAATTAGAAATTTCCCTGTCAATATCGTTTTGACCAGATGTGAGGTGAGCTCGACATGCTCCGTTTCAAGTTCAAAAATTGACAACTAGTATTACGACCCCATCCATGCTCCCCAAGGCATAAAAATAAAAAAATAAAGAAAAGTGTGCAGTCCGATGCCACCTTCAGGGCGACGAGAGTTGCCAGTAGGTTCTGCATCTCGGATGGCTGCAGGAGAAACGTAGACCTTCACCTCCCTCCCCAACACTTTGGCGACCGAATCGATCATCTCCTGAATTTGATTTTTTACGCCAGCGAATATCGATTTTCATGAGAATCGCTCATGAGATTCAAAAATAAGTGTACACAGTGGGCAAAACTTAACATAAAAAGGATCAGTAATCATGAGAGCCACATCACAGGTGACGAGCAACCACAAATTTGGAGAGGATATGTAACAAATGAGGTGAAATACCATTGTCGACAAGGAAAACGAAGACAATGGAGAAGTAAGGAGCAAAAGCAGAGGAAATTGGTAAAGTCTGGATGCGGAATGCAAAATGAAGAATATGATGGAACAGGTGAATCGGATTTAGTATCAGAAACGAAAGAAACACAAGGATGAGACCTATTACCCCAGTATGAGAGGTGTCCAACCTCGACTCCTCCATGGTAGGATTGGGATGGTAATTGATTGATGATGGTAGTGATATGGGTCGCTGCCCTTTAATATGAAAACAAGAAATAAAACAAAGATACCTTGCAAGAACTAAAATGGAGGAGGAGGAGGAGGAGGAGGAAGAGGAGGAAGTAGCAACAGTAACCCAATTTAAAAATCACGTGAAGAGCGGTTGCATTACACGGGTGAACGTGAACCAAACGAACAAAACCCAAATCGAATTCGAACAAGGTGCTTAGATTAGATTAGATTCAGAGGATGATGCCACCACAACCTTGAGGGGGAAACCCTAAAACCCCAGGAACAGCAAAGTGGAGGGAGGAAGGTGGAGGGATGATGATGATGATGATGATGAGTACTGAGTTACAGGAAGAATGAATTGCACTCTTCTACTACAACAATTCTACAACAACAATAACAATACTACAATAACAATACTACTCGATTCTCCTCCTCTCTCTCGCTCTCTTCCAGACTCATTGCTCTTAAAAAACTTTTCCCCCCCCCCCCCCCCCCCCCCCTCCCTATCATACCCGGAAAGTAAAATGTATATCTGGTGTCCTATTATGCGGTTCTCAATCCTGTTCCTTCTCTTCCGAGTTTCTTCGTCACCATGCAGTGTTTTTTCTGTTGTTATCCTTGCATTGGAGGGCCTTCGCTTCTAGAGTACAATGTTAAAGCAAGTTATCCACATATAATCACAAGCAATACATTAATGAATCATACTGCAACCATTATAACTAAAAAAATTATAAGCTTTTTTAAATTAATACCACACAAGAACTAAATATAATAACTACAATAATTATTACTTGTACAAAAATAAATAAATTACATACATTAATACATTAAAGAAAATTTTAAAACGCACACATATACATTTGTGTTTCTTTGATAATACAAATTAAAGAATTAATAAATGCAACTACATGAAGACATGAAAAAACGTTTGCCTGCTATAAAAATTCAAATACAAAAATATAAAAAGTGAAAAATCATATATATATATATATATATATATATATATATTCATCTCTTTATATAGCAAACGTTTTTCATTTTTGAAATTTATTTTTCCATCAAAAACTATGTATCTTGTTATTACAAAACACCAAATGCAATATCATGTCATTTCATAGTCCCAAGAAATTATGTATATTATAATTATGAAAACAATATTAAAGAAATCCATAAATCTAAGTAATGTGATTTGGTATTAATGTTGTTATTTGGTCATTGCTATTAATGTTGTTGTTTTGGGCATGTTGTAACAAAAACAGTTATTACTTTTTAATAAATAATAAATTACTTCCACCAATATTAACCAAAGTGTCTTTTAGCACTTTTCAATGCATTTAATATCCTACTAATAAGGATGCGTTCACTAGTGCTCACAGATTGTAACAAGATGGTTACTATATATATATATATATATATATATATTTCGAGTTTGAAAAGAGAAAAAATACTAAATTATAAATGAAGATAATATGTGTAAAAATGGAAAGAAAACAAAAGACAAAACAACATCAAATGTGTATTTTTTTTCTTGGAGGTGTAAGTTAGTTAAAAGTTGTATGATTAAATGGTAATATCAATTGCAATGTTAATGGACATAAATGAAGACATTTCAAAGTGGTTGAAGGATTAGTAATTTATTAATTTTATATTATTTTTCTATAGTATAATTGTGAGAAACAAATTAGGGGCATTAGTATTTTAAACTCTAAGTTCTAATTACCAAACATACTTGTTTGTAGTACTTTAATTCCAAAGATGAATTTAAGTAATATTTTTTTATATTTTTTTAAAAAAATTTATTTATTTAATTATATGGATGTTAAAACAAATCACTATTAGTGTTTTTATACATGTGTTATTTAAAAATAAGCTTCTAACTCTAATAGTGATTTTTTAAAAAAATTAAAAATAATCCTCTTTGTTTTTGTATTATTTATTTTACAAAAGATCCATGTTTTTTATAATTTATGAAATCCATAATAATATTAAATTAAATATATAATAGAAGAAAAAAGCATGTAAAAGTATAATTATAAGGCTACATTTAATTTACCTTTTATTTTTACATGCTTAGATTTAGAGTAGAATATATTTTGTAATAAATATATATATATATATATATATATATATATAAAAATTATAACCTTTCAAATAAAAAAATCAAAATTATTGTTTAAAATTCAATTCATCTTCTTGAAAAAAATCTCTCATAATGTTATTATAAAAATATTTATATTAGATGAATATTTTTTTATATTTTATTATTTTAAAAATAAAGTTTTCAATAAAATTTTATATAAGGCATAAAAGTTAAGTTTATATTGATAGTTCTTGAAGATATGTATTATATTGATTCTTAGTAAAATGTGTGTCATTATTTTCTTGATATTATGTCTATATGAGAGTTCTCTTTTAATAAGTATTTACCAATATGGTATTATAGCTATAAGGTTAAGCCAAAGATTTGTAGTATGTTTGTATTTTGAAGCATTTTTGAAATAAAGTGCTTTGTTCCATTCATTTACAAGACTAGACATTAATTTTTCAAACTTGATCATTGCAGAGATACTTCTTACATTACTTATTACACCTTTTGTATGTTGCAATATAGAAACTCAGATCTTAGTAATATCAAAAGATGCCATTCTATAAGAAGATGTCAAATTGATTAGATCCAAAAATTTCTACTTATAGAAATATATTTTGATTCATGCTACCATATAAGAAAATTTATGGTTCTTACTTAAAGACATTTTTATTAGTTTTTTTAAAGAAAAAATGTGAGAAGATCTTAAGATAGACGACAAGAGAAAGAAATTGTTGTACATTATGACCATGTCAATTAAAGCAGGTGTCTTAAAAAATTTGACAATATTTCAGGATCTAAAGTTATTATAGAACACTTTGAAGGCTACGTTCAAGATCTCTTTTGATATTCAAAAGTTTGAATTTTAGAATAGATTATTTCAAATTAGAATGAGTGAAGGCAATTCTTTTGAACAATACTTTGCTGAATTGCATGGTATTAGTGCAAAATTGGCAACTATAGGAATTACTGTATTTGATGATGATCTTCTAGAAATTGTCATGAAAATAATACATGATAGTTACAACCATTTCATGCAACATTATATTATAGGAAGAAAATTTCTTGGTCTTATTCAACTTCAAAAAAATCTTATGCATAAAGAAAGTGGATGACAAATTAAATTATCAAAAGATGCTTCTATTCTAGAAGCATTATATTTTTGTGTGAGTCAATATAAAAATTAGTCTTAGCAATAATATACTAGAATATCACAAACAATTCTTTGATCCAAATTTACTTCAATGTAAAAAAATGGATAATACAATTATCATAGACCTTCATATCATTGGATTTAAATGTTCTAAGAGTAAATTTTTGATATTTACAAACTAAAAGAAAATAGAAGAATGATGCTATAATAGAACAAGTTGACTTAGGTTCATATCATTGAAAATAAACAACAACCATACGAGCATGAGGAAGACCTAATAAATCAAAATATAGATTTAAATTTAGTAGAAGATGGAAGCACATTCAAAGCTACACATGCAGCATTGGTCACCAAAAGTGACAATTTTGGCTAGTATTTAGATACTGGAGCTTGTAGACATGTTTTAAGATAAAAAAAAATATATTTTGATAGTGTAGAATAAGTTGATAAAAGATACATTTGAATAACAAGTTGTCAAATATAATCTATTTCAACTAGCTAGTAATACAATAAAGAAGGTACCAAATTTTTTTTTTTGAAAGTTGAATAAGAGTAAAATTTCAACTAGCTAGTGGTACAATAAAGAAGGTACCTAAAAATTTACACATCCTTGGAATCTGCAAGAATTTTCTCTTTGTAGGATTATTTATAGATTTAGGCTATATTGCTTACTTTGATGGTATGAGATATATCTTGATAAATAAAAAAATTTATAAGATAATGATAAAAAGAATTAAAAATTCTATAAATAAATTATATTAATTAACAACTAAAGGTACCTCAGTAGAAGTCAATACAACAACTTCATCTTCAAATAATTTTACAAAATCTAGTACTAATGTATAGCCTATATTAACAATTAAATCTTATATATCTTATTCATTAGACTAGCTACATAGATTCTATACATTCTGCTAGTAAATAAATTGTGTAGATCATATCAACTTGGCAAATGAATCAAATAATAATATCTAGATAAGAATTCCTTTAGACCTACTAGAATCCTTGAATTATTACATACTAACATTGTGAAACCAATGCCACTGCCTTCTTTTGGTAAATTTCAATATTTCATGGTTCTATTTGATATTTATAATATGATGGTATAGATGCAATACCTTTAAAAAAAATTAAAAGAAATTGAGCAATTTATAAACTTTGAAAAACTAATCAAAAATCAAATTAGCACAAAGAGGAGTGTACTTTGGTTTCTTTAAGGTAGAATTTTTTTCTCAAAAAACATAATTTACTTTTGCAATTTACTTGATATTTATCAAGAACTTGCAAATATAAAATCTCTCTCTTAAAATAATATAGTTAAATATATAAACAAAATGCTATCTGAAAAGATACATTCTATTTCTATCTAAGTATGACCTCAAATTTTTTCTAAAATAAAGCTATGAATATGGTTGTCTTTTTTATGAATTATTCATCTACCACCACAAATTTAAATCTAAAAATACCGTACTACGGATTTATAGGTAAAAAACCTTCATTCACTCATATTAGAATATTTGGTTTGTAAATTTATATATTATAAAAAAACTCATTTTGCTAACAAACTTTCTATATAATTACATGAAGAGGTGCTTGTTGGATTTGATGAATAAACAAAGGATCATAGATGTTAGGTTTCTAATTGTAATAGGTTAGTGATTTTTAGAGATGATAAATTTGATAAAACTAGAGTGATGAAATGAAATCTTAATACTAGCATAAATCCAACTTCAAATCATATTCCTTCTACAATTCCAATATTGACATCTTCCATTCTTGATTCTTCATCAACTTTATCTACACCTCTATATAATATTGATATGTCAGTTAATAGATTGCCATTAAATACCAAAGATATACTCCCACTCAAAACAACTCAGTCAACTTTACTTATATCTATTGCAGAATAGACGTGTTCTTTTGAACAAAATATGCCACTACAAAGTAGTAATAAAATTCATACTCTTTGTCTCTATATAAATGACAATCTTTAATATATTTGAAGAAAAACTATATTGGATACATGAATCATAATCATGATCTCAATTATATTATATTTGATTGTATTTATTGTTTAACAAGAAAAAAACTTGTTATTATTGATAATTTATCCTCTAATACTAAAGCTATGAAATCTTTGGCTTGACAAGTTGCAATTTAATTCAAAAAAGATAGAATTATTAAAAATTAAATATAAAATCTAATGGATTCTTTATAGATTTCCATAGAATCAGAACCTA